AAGAAGAAGTCATCAAAAAAATCTGAAAGAAAGATATGTTATGGAGAAAAATAAATTAAACAAGATTTGCCTGAGCATTACATCCGAATTCGTTACCAAATTTGAAATAAAAATAAAATACGGAAAACAAATACTAATAATAAAAATGAAAAGAGACTTAAATTTAGTGAGTGCGCGAGCATGTTTTCAACACGCCATCTTTGGCGATTTTTCATTTTTTTTGGGCATAGTTCAATGCCCTGAAAATTTACAGATGTGTACTTCACATAATACAAAACCCACTAAAAAAGTTTGAAAAAATAATAAAATTGTTTAGACCCCGAACTAAAGTGAAAACAAAAAGTAAAAAGTGAAAAAATATGTGGGCGAGCACGTTTTGACACCGCCATCTTTGGCGATTTTTAATTCTTATTTGGCTTAGCCAAATAACTTGAAAATTTACAGGCATGTACCTCACGTCATAGAGAAGTCACAAAAAAAAATTCAGAAAAAAATTATTATTTTTAGGCCCCGAAATAATTTTTGGCGGGGGCCGAACGCCCGTACGTATGGAGGTCTGCCTGGGGACCTCCGTACGTACGGGCTGGTGACCCTGCATAAAACTGTGTCACACGTCGTAGAATACTTCACTAAGGGTCCAGGCCCTTGAGGCTAAGGTTGTTCAATTTATTTTTTCTGCATAACATAGTTTTTTTTAACTTTTTTTCCCGATTTTTTTTTTTTTTTTTTTTTTTTGCTGGGCCCTTCCCTGGACCTTGCACGTCCGGGCCGCCCGGTCAAACAAGGTGATCGGGGCCGCCCGGCTGATAGCCCAGGAAAAAAAAGAAAAGAAAAAAAAGTACTAAATTGAAAATATAATTGAAATTGAAGAAAGGATAACATAGCCAGCCCATGGTATACACCTGTAAGTTGATGTAACTGTTGGTAAAGTAAACACAAATCAAGAGTTCAAATCCTCACCGAATCACACAAACAGAACACAGTAAAGTGAGGCGCTACCCGATTTCTAGGAAGAAGGCATAACAGACCTGGTCCGTAGGAATCCCGAGGTGCTCCTCATGGAACCAATCTTCGCAGATGGTACATTGAATCATGCGTTCCTCCTCGTCTCGCTCTGCTCGTTCGGGATCTGGATAAGGTCGGTGACAGATACAGTACACACCCCTGTAGTTCTGGTTATATACATTCTTTGGGTTGATAGGATCCTTATCTGGCCTCAATTTACATGGGACACCCCCAAACTTGGAGTTACCACAATCACAGCGAAATCGGCGACGAGTCCAGATCTCCACAATCTGCATGGAAGGAAACATCGCAAGTTATTCAGTATTATGAATATATGACTGCAAATAGTAGTTTATGACTCATTGGACGTGGATCGCTGATGGAACAACATCCTATGCATCTTCACATACTCCAAAACGCTTGACCATGATGGAGAGGGGGTGGGCCAACAAGGAGGAAAGGAGCGGGGAGGGCTAGAAAGGGGGGGGGGGGGGGGGGGGGAGGGGGGGGAGGGGGAGGGAAGGGGAAGGAAGGGGAAGGAAGGGGAAGGAACCGGGAAGGAAGCAGGAAAGGACGGGGGAGGGAGGCCGAGGGAAGGAGAAGGGAGGGCGAGGGGAAGAGGGGCTCAGCCATTCCCATAGACGAATAGACATTTGATTGTTCATTCCAAGTTCTGTGCACATTTGTTACCCATTCATGCAATCTGAGGTGTCTGTTTTTTTTTTTTTTTTTTGGACCATTCTTGATTTATGTGTGTCGTCCTTGCACAGGGGCCATGCTAATCTTCTCTACATCATTCCAATTTTAACGGATGTCCTGAAGGACAGGGAGGTGGGGTGGGGAAGGACAGGGGGGGGGCGGATGTTGCTTATTATCAGGCCGATGGCAGGGGATAGACCAGTCTGGTACCAGACTGACTGGTACCGGACTGGTACCGGACTGGTACCGGACTGGGCAGACCGGTAGCTGGTCCAGTGGGTTCAACCAGGATACCGGTACAGGCAGAAACAGGCGGAACGTCTCCGCCTGGAGTCTCAGCTGGCTAGCATAGACTGCAATTTTTTCCGCCTTGGCCCAGACCTTGCTCAGCTGGGGCACCCGGGCAGCACAAGGTGGCCCAGGCAGCCCAGCTGGTAGCTTGCTCAGTTTCTTTCACAATGGGTTTATCTTATCTTGTCACAACATGCCTCCGTGCTTTAACCGGGGTGGGAAGGGGGGACGAGGGGAAAGGAAGGAGCAGGAGGAAGAGGAGAGGGGTCAATCTGAACAAATAAATTACCTCATGCTTATCATGACATGTGAGCGAACAGGCCAAGCAGACCCCTGCTTGCGCGTTGGGTGTGCACGTCTCACAAACAAATACCCCTTGCCGGGGAAGGTAACCCTCATCATAGCTGCACACATCGCCGGAGTCCCCACCTCCTAAGACCATCTCTGCCTCCTGGAGGGAACCAAAACAAATATCCGCAGGAAACAAGAAAAAACTCGAACAAAATTAAAACGTGAAATATATTCATAAATAGAGTCCAACAATCAGAATGGCATGCCAGGCACACTGATGTTTCTTGTGAGAAAAAAAAAAACAACTTCAGACAATGCATCTGAGAGAATTACTTGTTCGCATGATGTAAGCAGACCTGCGCCAAACCCGGCATTTTTTTCTTTAAATGGGCCAGAGAAAAGAAAGAGAAAAGAAAAGAAAAGAAAAGAAAAGAAAAGAAAAGAAAACAGAGAGAGGGCTAGGGTGCCAGGCTGGGCAAACAACAAATATGTACAGGAGATACGACAGAGTGCTTCGTATATGTTGTCTATCTTTTGGAATACTGTTTCTACTGTCAAACTCCAAATTGCCGGATGACCGACTGCTCATTTTGAGTGGGTCACTATGCTGGCCCCTGCTAACCCCGGGCGTTCGGGAAGGCCTCTGGCTGCACAGACGGCTCGGCCGGGCCACAGCGGTCCTGGACAGCCCCAGCAAAGCATCATTAGAAAGTCAGGAAAAACGTTCCAAACACATATATATTGTGTAGTCCATTTATCGACTACCCACTTTGAGTGTGTGATTATGCTACCCCCCCCCTTAGTGCCCGGGAAGGCCACTTGCTGTACCGATCGCTCGGCTGGGCCACAAGGGTCCTGGACAGCCCCAGCAAAAAAATCAGCAAAGATTTAACTTCATTTAAGTAATTAAAAAAATCATGGAAAAGACTTCAAAAGAGTTCGACAAAGTTAAAATATATATATATCGTCACAAACAGAACTGCCCGGTAAACCGTAGGCAGAGAGAGAGAAGAGGACAACAAACGAGGGGCTGTGGCAAACTGTTTCGTCGGAGTTTCACCGACTCATCAGGAGGCTGAACCCTCAACAGTCTGCAG